GTTCGTCTGAAACAGTATTTACTCTAACCTTGTAACAATTTTTTAAAGGCTGAACGTCGTAGTGACTTTTGCATAAGAAGTTCGATAACCTTAAGAATGGAAGTAAAGGCACTAAGCTTTTGTGATATACTGACGCTTTTCTGTGATAGTGAGCATCCGTGGCTGTAAGCCGTTTAAAATACAGACAACTCAATGTCGTAATTTGGTACAGGCGGTGGTTAAAAGTGAGCAGAACAAAAGTTGTGATTAATCAAGAACAAATCACAGACAAAAGCACACATACTGTCAAATTGCCACATTTCATGCTTCAGTTTGATGGCGTCTCGTTCTGTATGGCATGAAGAGGTGATTAGAATCATTCTAGAACTCTGTACTATACGCACTGTGTTAAACAATAACACTGAAATTATCGACACGCCCTCGAAAGGAATTATTGCCATGAAACAAATGCATCAAAATTTACGAAGCAAACAAACTATAACCGGCGGCTACCCCCTGTTCAGGGATAACAGCTGAACTCGTCGTGTTAATTTCTTTTGATCGCTCCTGTATACAGGTCTCCTATTTGTAGTCGATTGACGTAAGATATATAATCAATATCTGGTACAGTTACGTGATTTCTCGCTTGTACTTTAACCGCACGAAATCGAACCATGTTTGCATACCCTATGTTTCCACTCTATATTCAGGTTGGTTGTTAGCAAGTTGTCCCTGTGTCCAATTCAACCTCTCTTTGAAAATGGCTTCACCGATGCGCCAACTTCTTACATTTATCCTCGCGGTTGATAAAGAATAGGCCAATAATTTGAAAGTTAAACAAAGATGAAGGGGATTCTGTTTTTGATCGGAGTTGCTCAGTCGGTACAGCGTTACACTCAGAGCCGCGAGGTCTCAGGCCTGATCGGTCGATTCATCTTTGCTGCTTCCAACGTTTGATAAATGAATGCCACTGTGGGATGAAGGCAGGAGAATATACACTATGCTTACTACATAGCCTCTTTCTACTCTGCCTTTAAAATACGGTGTTGATCGTATTCATTATTAACTTAATGAAAATAAGAGCGACAGAAATGGTTCCATCAAGAATTTGTAAGGAAGGCCGCTATTGCAACGGTCACAAACTTTCCTTTCATTTACATTCAAATCAGCGAATCACGTGCGGTCAGATGCCATGTCCTTCTGACATTTTATGTTTCTATATTCCCATGTAAAGTTAATTTGAAAGACACTATCACTATTACCGCGATTGTAACAATTTGAACTCATCTTGAAGTTGTCTGTCTTTCAGTTATAAGTAGATTATCGGTTGCATGCATGCATACCGAAAACTACTTCTCGGTAGACAGAAAATTTTGCCAGTCCATTGCATAAAATGGTTCATTGTTTATGTTGATTATCGAAGTACTGCTATTTTTAATGGTCGCAGAAAATTTTTATATTAAATGTTAGTCATTTTCGTTTGAAAAGTATGATTTCAATTTAGCCAACTGAATTAGAGACGATTTCTGGTTATACCACGTCAATGATCATTCCTTGTATGGAAGAAATACTCAGAACATTCCAACGAGCGACGAATCACAAATGTCAAGCTATCCTTCAGAAGTATACGGGTGACAAGTAAAGATACAAAGTTCACTCTGCGTTTGTCTCGTTATGTTATTTTCGCTTCGTTTTAGATTTGGCAGTGTATCTCTCATCGTTCCTCCAGGAATTGTCCCCGTGAATTCTAACGCTGAACATTGATTACATACGTCGAAGACACTATTGTTCTCGTTTGTTTACTACTAGTGTGTTTTCTGACGAAACTCTGCTACTAGTGTGTATACACTTGTTTTATGCCGGCAGGACAGTGAACGGGTGGATCCTGGGCCGATGCAACCAGTGTTACTGGTGCCATGTCCAACTTGTTCTCAAAAAGCGTTTGCGATCCCGTGCACTACGGCACGTATAATGTTAATATGTTATGAATAGATATTAATTTGGTCACATTTATTCATCTAGATTGTTAGAATAGTTCACTTTTAGTAAACATTTTACAAAAGACCTATACGATTATGAAAACGAGCGCTAGTTAAAGGTAACAAAAATGGTGACTAAATTATAAAACTGTTTAAAGTGTATAGGCCTGAAAAAGTTTATGACTGAAGGGAAGAAGCATTAGAATGCTAAGCGAAGCAGGTGTACTGTCGAATACCAATTCACACGGATTATTACGTCCGTTTCGAATCTAACTGTTCCCTGGTTACAGAAGTTGCGGCGTTAAACTGTAAGATGCCGCTACTTATCTGCGCCAAAAAAAACAACTGCTTCAGAAGATTAATTTATTGCAGACTTTAATTCAATATATACTCCAAAAGTTTACGTTATGATAATATGAACGCCGAAACAACAGACTCCAACAGAAACTGCAATTCGATAAAGGTATGAGTCCATCACAAAGAGATTTTACGATTGGAATATTCGCGTAGTTTTCGAATCTGAAGGACAATTAACTTTACTGCTGTCCAAGTAAAATGCAGTATTGTCGAAAGTATGGATATTTAAATGTTTAAAACAGGCTGCAATTTTAACAAGCCCGATGGGAAATCCAGTGACAAATAACCGTCGGAATAGCTTATTAAAAGTTGGAATGTTATTCTTCAGGTTTAATGCAGCCGGTTCCTTCTTTTAATGATAATTAATCGCTCAAACTTCGAATCAGTTTAGAGGCAACGTAAAAAGTGCAGAACAATGTCCATCTGACAATGGACGCTGTTTTTCCAAAACTGATTCTAAGTCTTTTTAGGACAGATGATCGCCTTTTACCGTCTGGATTTCTAATCTGTCTCCTAGCCCTACTACCATAAAACATCAAATTGTCTTGTCATATTCATCCTTACGAACGAAAGAATTTTCGGGTTTATTAGAAGTGCTCACGATTATTGAGCGTTCAAAAGAATATTCTAGCATTAGACCGCTTATATGCCAAACAACGATCTGATCAGTCCTGCTTTTTGCCACCATGATACGATCGTAAATTATGAACTCTAAAGAGGAATCCTTTTAATCAAAAATAATAAAATGCAAAGTTCAATGTAATTTTCTGTTAAGTTACCTAGTCTAATCGTCATGACCAAAAACGCTACCTTTGTATGAGGGAACAATGACTCCGTAATTTTAACTACATTAATCAAAAGCTGATTCAGGAGAAAACAGTTGCATATATGGAAAGTAATGTTTCTTATTAAATAACTATATAGTTGTATATACAGTTCCAGTTATATCTACACATGAAGATAACTGTGTACTTAATAGAGAAAATATTCAAAACTCAACATCAACTACAAGCAATTTCATTAGCTATGCCTAAGACAAGACTATCCGCAACATTTGTATTCCTAATTAATTCATTAGTGCTCAGCTGAGGATAAAAAACCAACCGTACTTACCATTACATGCGTTCACCTGACGCGTTCTGGGCAGCCTCAGAAAAAGTTTTAAACACAATCGATTGGAAAAACCATGGCTGAAGAAAAATGGGCACCACTTAAAGTACCTGCGGTTCATAAACGATGTTCTCATTCTATCCAAAACACATGAAGAACCCAAAGAAACAACCGCACCGTCACCAAAAGACTATAAATGAACTTTCCAAAGACCCAAATCACGTTGCCGCGACCCATCTCATGCATTTAAGTTTTAAACTGTGATTATAAGACGGCTAATCTCTGAAACGGAGAACCAGCTACGTGAAATCAACGAAGAACAAAAATGACATGGACAACTTTTAGAAGACTGAACATGTTCCTATCTGTAAAACTGACCTTGTGCTTGAAACGGAATGTTTGATTAGTGTTATCTCATAGAGCTAAGTTATGGTTACGGTTACAAAACGTAGATCCTACGCCTGAAAGGCATTCATAATCTTACGACTACACAACGTCGTATGGGAAGATGTCTGTTGAACAGCAAAAATAGAGACAAAGAGCAAACGAATGGACAAGAACACAAACAAGAATCCTGGGTCACTGCAACAGCGGATAAGTCAGAGTGGCAAAAAGCTAAACACACATTGCAAGAAGCGATCGTCGCTGAACCAGAGACGTCATATTTATCCGCAAAAGAGCAAATGGCCCGTAGGAAAACCTCCTGATCGATGGCCAGATTAGCTGAGCTGAATGGATGAAAATCGATAAAATCTAGAAAGTTGATGGCCAAATCCTGAAGGTCCTCATTCAGCAGTAGATCGCAAAACGTTGATGATAATAAACATCTGACAGACAAAGCCTAAACCCGAAAAGGAACGGACTTCTCGTTGAATTACGCGACATGGTCCATAAACTAATTTCATCGATTCCATTTTGAGCCGAGAAGTTCATTAAAAAAGCAGGCCATGTAATAACATGAAGAAATCATTCGTACCAGCAAACCTCAATAGCCAGCTTACCTTCTTCTAGTTCACGGTTTAGTCTAATTACTTTCAATGCTCAATTATTACTTTTCAACCTGTGATGACTGAAGATGTAAATAAAATATCCATAGCTCAAAATCTTGGTTTGAAAGTTAAATCTATTCACTCGTGTGCTACTTACTCCCAAGAGTCGCTTCCATAGGTCAAAACCAATACGGACATTTACAAAGAATCTTTAAACCATCAGTTTGAGGGAAAACAGATATCACTCATTGTAGCCATTCCTTCACGCAATCACTAGTTTCTTAATCTTTACCCTTAATACCTAATCAAGAATGAGTCATCAAACATTCAAATTCTCTTTTGAATAAAACAATGAGAAACTATGCTGCATTCATCCTTCATTCAGAAACTGAAATAAACAACTTTAAATGTTAAATTTAGCTTATGATGGCAAAAACGAAGTCCTCGAATTCTCAGTCTGCATAAT